GAATTTCTGCCGAGTGGTTCTGCTTTGAGGCAGCATGCCAGGGGAACAGACCAACGCAGCCGTGAAAGAATGTTTCTACTGTGTCTGCTCTGGCTGGCTCTTCTTGCCCGGGCTGTTGGACCGATTCATCGACGAGATTGGCCAAGAGCACCAAGTGAGAGCCTACATCCAACAAGCAGAAGCTGCTGATGCTCCAAGCCTGACAGCTGCCCTGTGTTTTCGAGATAGTAAACGGAGAGTAAACGGAGTGAGGGCAAACACCGTGTTTCAGAGAAAAGGCTGTCAGGATGGAATGCTTACCTCTGAGGGTTCCATAAATTGTATCCCGGCATGCTATGGTAATAATTCTTAAGCCATCCCTTCTGAATGCATGATCAGCGGCGTTACAAGTTGTATTGACACTACGTATCGTTTTCACTTCATTTTGAAGGTATCGTTGCGTTCAGTTCACTACAACACTCAAAACCGATAACGCTGGATCCCGATTAGTGCAGGGTTCCTGAATTGTTTTCGCCGAAATTATTCAGCACACCCCCTGTTCGTTTGGGATCCCTTTATTGTACGAAGTTGCGCGGCGAAAACAATCTGAGAACAAGTGACTAGAATTCAGAAAGGTTTGAACTCCTCATGAATGCCTTCTGAAACCCTTCTGATCTATTACCGAGCCGATCCTGATCCCTCCTATTGACTTTTAAGTACAACCTAGGATCCAGATTTGGTTGATCCCTCCTGTTGAATTTTATCTAAAACCCAAAAATCAGGTATTGTTTGGGGGGGTACCCCCCCTCCCCCCCAATTAGGGACCTCATTTTGTTTGTGCGGGGTTCCCCCTACACTAATCAGGATCCCACATGAAAGTCGGGATTTGTCACGGGACATCGTCAAGAGCTTCTGCAAGCTTGGAGGGTTATACCATGGATGAGGTTTAGAGGTTAGGCTTTAGGGTGCATTTCCAACTTCACCTTAATAGGGATTACTTTGTTGGTGAGGTTGGGGGGTCTGGGTAGTAGTCAGGGTCTGGGGTGCTTGTGATATAAGGGTGATTTTGTCGGTACGCTTAGTGATTGCGCCGTGTTTCGGGTTGTATCTGGAACGATTATTTGGGGTGCCGAATGCTTGGGGCACAAGGGAAACATTAGCTTGGGTTACTGGGTCGTTTACCTGTGGGTCTCCTTGTCCTGTGTTTGTTTATCGTTGTATAGCTCTCAGTGTGCAGGCTCGTCGTTCAGACGGCAGGGTGGCTTTCCTAGGTAAGCAGTCTCACCATTCCTTGCTTTCACAGCGGATCCACAGCGAAGGTGAGTTGACATCTCAGGGAGTTTCAAGTATATTCCAAGGGGCCTCAGTATGCATCCACACTCACTACTTGGAGGCCTTCTACTTCTCCGTCAAAATAGATTCTCACTGCCTGCTCAGGCCCTGCTTTGGATGGCATGGCCCATGGAAACTTTGGCGTCCAGCCCTCAAAGTGGTTGCTTCCGCCGGATGATGCGTTTCTTGCAGGGGAAGTTTGCTAGAAGTCCAGCTCATGGCCGACTCACACTCGGGCAAAAGAGCCGGAACACAAGAACTTGATTTTCTTCGGCGAACGCCGAACAAATTGGCTTGTGGAAGCCTTCCCTCTAAGAGCGGGTCGCTACGCTGTTCAGCAGCTTCCGTCGATGACCTGAGTGCAGAAGCCCTCAAACAGCAGACCCTTATTTCCATACTGGTCGGGATTCACCACGCTGGTGCTACCACTGACAACATTGCCTGCAGGCCTACAGGAAGACTGCGTCAAGCGGAGAATGTTTTTTTTGCAAATAAGGGCTTGTGCCGTATTTTGTCGTTTGTGTCCTCGTCATAGCAGCAGCACTCGTAGTATGAGTGCGAGGGGTCAAGATGGGTACGGTTGATGACGGCCCTGAGCACTAGCTTGTTCTACACTCGTGATGATACTACTGGTAGTACTAGCAACATGGTACCTCCTCCTAACATGGGTCCAACCGGGGTTTGGCGGAAATGGAAATGTTGCCCGTGTTTAAGGCTCCCCTAAGTCTGGCAGAGCAAGACTAACACGAAGGGATGAAATTTGCCCGCTGCACCTGGTTTTCCCGAACTGCTTGCTGCCACTAAAGTTTTGATTGTGATGCAGCCGCGCTAGCAGACAGGATAGGCACGGTAGAGCCACTGCGCAGAAGCCGCGGTTTAGCTCCAGCGAATGTATGGATGGTACGTCACTTCCGCATATGCATGCGCTGTATTTCACTTCTGGACGGCTTCTTGGATGTCTTTGAGGCAAGCAGCAGCCACTTTTCATGTCCACCACCTCCCCACCTACCACACTGCAACGACATCTGAGGTTCGTATTTATAAATGGCAGGGGTTCTCATCCCTTGTGGCGGCATTCCAATCCTTAGCTGGGAGCCATGGCTGGTATTGGGCAGGACCTTGTTCACCTGCATGGGTGTGCATGGGGGGGGCGTAGAGTCACTTCTACCTTTTTCCCCAACTTTTGAACGTAAGGACGCCGATGCAAGCTGAGCAGGGCACTAACGCAGAAGTGCTCGGTCGGGTGCATGATAAGCGACAGCACACGCTGAAAGCGACTCTGGGTGGCACCTGTCCAGCGTGAGTTCGTGCTCTGCTTCAGTTTTGCTTCGTGCCTCGGACTCGAGAAAAGCTGAGGATTGCAAATCTTTGGTCGCTGGTCCTAGACGTGTTCCTCTCGTTGCTTTTTGCCACTTGGTTCGGCCATCTGAAATCTATTTATGCAAGTTTGGCAGAGACAAGAGGTAACGGTGTTGCTGCCTATGGAGGATGTAGGAGCCCCGAGCCTCTGGGGGTAGGACAACATTTCTTTAAGGTACACCTATGCCTTGTTGACAGCGCTATCTTGCTTTTTGCTTGCAAACATTGTGAAAACCGCAGAGAGGCCCTTGAAGGGCCTGTTTTGAACCCTGGAGAAATCCATCTGGATCCCTATAAGAAGCCTGAATCCTCTTATGCACCCGTGTGCAGCCCCTGTGGAGGTTTCGCAGTTTTGGTTCACTTCGGTGGGCTCCGTCAAGACCCTACCCTTCTTTATTGGCGTGGCTGTGGGGAACCTGATCCTCCATAGGCAAGAGTTAGAGACGTTCCGTACATGAATGGGTTCTGGGATTAGGCGGCTTACAGATCTTTAGAATGAGGAAGGCTGCAAGAATTGGAGGTCATTCCCTGGTAATTGACTTGTTGTGAGTGAACAAAATGGACTACCGGCAGATTTTTGTAGACTTGCTGGCGGCCACTGATTTGTTGAAGCTGCACAATACTCGAGAGCGGCTCTTGTGGCAAACAGTTTGGATGCGCAACCTGCGAAACTTCTAGTTATTGAAATGACGGCAAGCTAAGGCAAGTACAACCGTCGCTAAAAGCCTCCCTACTCCCCTGAGAATCCAAAGGTCATTAGACCACCCCAATTGTTACAACCGCTGCATGATTCATTGCACTATTGCATCCCAAGCACGTTTGTCAGGCTCGGCGACCCAGAACTGAAGCTGACGCCGGAACGCGCCTTGCTTGCATCGGAACGCCTTCGGGTTCTCACCATGGGCACTTTGCAGTTGATTTTGTTGCGGCAGGGCAGAATTTGCAATGGCATGTGCAATCCACGGCGAGCTCCGTAATTTTTCCAAATGCTACGCAGAATCAGAAGGGTTCCCGTTTTGCTTTTAAGTGTTGGGGTCCAGGTGTCCGGGACATAACCAATAGCGTTGCTTTTGTGTCCGCGCAGCATCCACAAGCATTCGCAAGCCCTCGCGTCTTTGTCGTCTTTCGTTGCGTCTCAAATTGTCATCAAGAGCCACGGGATGAGAGCTCTGGAGGTTGTCATTCTGGCAAGTGTCGTCGCTTTTGGACCTACGTGTCTGCGTGGCGTGACGAATGTCATCTGTCACAGGGATGTGGCTCCTGCGGGTGGCCATCCTCGTGACTGTCGTCGCCTTTGGAGCCTCGTGTCCGGAGTGTGGAGACTGGAGAGGAAAGTGGGGAGGGGCACTGTGGAGAATGGAGTGTGGAGTGTGGAGCCTAGAGACTGCGGCGCAGAGAACGGAGAGTGGATGGAGTGGAGTGTGGAGAGTGGAACGTGGAGAAGGGAGAGTGGACACTGGAGTTTGCAGAGTGGAGTGTGAAGTGTGGAGTGTGAACGGAGTGTGGAGAACGGAGAGTGGATGGAGTGGACACTGGAGAATGGAGAGTGTAAAATGTTAAATGGAGAGCGTAGAGTGGTCAGGGCAGGGCAGAAGGTCGAGACCGGAGACTGGAGTGATGTGAGCTATATTCTAAACTCCTCAAAGGCGGGGTTATATAGAGGATGATGTAGGGGAGTATAATTGGGGTTATTAAGGGGGATACTAGGAGTTTAGATTCGAGCTCACATGGTCAACCTACCTGCATTACGTGTCCCCTGTCTGTACTCGGGTCTTGGACTCAACAGGTGCCAAGGCTCAGGGTGTAGCAGACTCAGGTACTATGGGGATATGGGAACATGTGCGGAAAGATTGGGGTAACGGAGGGCTCTAAATATGAAAGCCGCCTCCGCCTTAAAACAACTGGACGATTCTATATGGCAGGGGCCCCCCAATCAATTTCTTGCAAAGTTGTTTTTTGCGGGGCGTTGGGTCATGAATTCCAAAGGCAGGATGCTTGGGCGCTCAGAGCTCTTCGGTTCAGCCTAGCCCCAACTAAAATTCGATTTCAAATTCGTGGATAGGGGTTGACCAGATTATTCCGTACTTTTTAAAGGCCATTATTCCGTTCTGATGGCCCAGGTTTACAACCCCTAGGCAGAGATGGTTTGCCAGGCTTTTTGAATAAGGGAGTTAACAAGAACTCGGTGTTCTCTGGCAAAGACCAACTCCGAAATCTGCAAGGGAATTGGTTTCTGGGTCAAGCGCTTAGTTTGTTTGTTCTGGGTTTTCCAGTTCGGAATGGCTAAAGGCTTGAGGATTGGCTGAGTTTGGTTGACGCCCCGCGCTCAGGTCTCAATCGGGACACCATGATGATGACCATGCTTGTGCCCCTTAGCTTATTGAGCAAAAGAGGAGCCAGAAAGCACGGATGGATAGCAACAGCTATTGGAAACAGTGTGTTGTGCGGGATTCTTGTGTATGCTGCACTGCTGTCCACGCCAGAACATAGACTTCAGCGCTTTCACTTGATCTTCAGGAACAAAATCAACTTTCCTCAGCCAAATTGCACTATGCAGGCCTCAGACTGGATGGTCCCTTCCTAGATTCTTTATTCCGCTTGGCCTGGGCCGCTTAAGTGATGCGTCTGGACTCTACGTTATGAAGTGGCGATTTCTTGCAACATAGCAAGACAGATACCTGAGGTTAGCAAGTCATGAAGACATGGATTCTTACAGTAGTCCCAATATGAGCCCCAAGGATCGTTCATTCCCTGCTAAGCAGAGGCGAAAAAACACTCCACCCTAAATCCCAAACCCCCCGTTCCGGTTGCAGGTTCATTTCCAGCGTGGGGCTGCCACGAGAGTTCCTGCCGGCGCTTACCATGGCGCGTGTGATGGTAAGCAGTTTTTCCACAGATGCGCCACTTTCCAACAAGGCCGGGCATGCCATGTCACAGGTTGACCCGGCTTATGACCTTAGAAGGGAGACACAATGTTGAGAACCTCCCCAGATCCTACCCTCTAGCTTTCGACACCTCGAAAAAAGGCCTTTTGCTATTTCATCTGGCAAAAATTTGAAGACCCTAAACTCCACACCCTAAGCCCTGAAACCTAACCCCATTATCAACCTCGCTCGAAGGTCAACTTTGCTCTGACCCCGCTCTACATGTTGTCGCACTGGTGTCAGAATTCGGTGGATGCATCAGCTGACCAGCAGCCTGGCTTTAAGCAAATCCCACGGAAGCCTGGAACACTAAAGGGGGAGTTCTTCGTGAAAGGCGCTGATATGGGCTTAGTGAAGATGCTTGCGAAATGTGAGGGCCAAGCCTTGTTGGTCCCTGCTCTTCAGATGACTACATGGCCCTGGCATTTTTCATGCAGGAGGTCCAGCGGTTTGAGGGCGACTGGCAAGGCTGATATATTAAGCTTTCAGCTTCAAGACCACCCAGGACCTATTCGGCTCAGGAAGGGCATGCCAGAACAGTCAAGGGGGGGTTCAGGGCCATTGAAATTGAACTGTGTCGGACCTTTTGCTTGAGAGCTTCTGACGACAGCTCAGGTTGAGCGATAGTGAGACAAAACCAAGAGCTTAGTTTTTCAACATTAGAGTAAGAGTCCTCTTCCGGTTGCTCTTAAAACCAGCATCTTGTCATTAAAGAGGAACTGGCCTAGTCTCTTAGTGGTTGTTAGTAGGAATAGGGAAATAGAATCCCTATTGATAACCCTGTAGAATCCCTATGTAGTCCCTAAATTACCCTTACATAATATATTCCCTTAATTGTATTCCTAATAACAACTAGTAAGGTCTCCTGCCTGTGGTTCCCATAGCCAAGGTTGATCTTCACCATCTGCAGTGAAGGCATCGTTGTCTCCTTTTTGGCGCTGGCAATTTCGAATTTGGATGTCAAGGACTCGCCATCCCGTTACAGACCTTGTATATTCCTACTCATGTCTTCCTTATATAATATAGCAGCAGGCACAGGGAGGGGGGTGGTTACTGTGATGAATGGCGAAGTTACAAGGCCTAGGTGGGCAAGATCTGTAGGTAACACACAGGTCTTGAGAAGAAAGAGAGTTGCTCAAGGAAGACCCACCATGGTCTGCTTCGTCCCTGTTTTGCTTCACCAATAAGCTAGGATTGGGGGTTTAGGGTTTAGGGCCTAGCTCAATCTGCTCCTGACGGAAAGTGGGGCTTTCAAGGAACTGCCATGATTCTGAGGCCCCCTTCATGAAGGTCGAAAGCATTGGCCCCCTGATAGGTTGCATGTCAGAGCATGGCTTGGGTCCTTGCTTCCAGAAAGCCTAAGCCATGGTTAACCTTCCTATGTTTGGTGTGCTTAATTGTACGGGACGATCGCGTGGATTTGCGTATGAAAGAAAAAAGAATCAGAAGAGTAGCTCCATGAGTAGTTTGAGTAGTTTTGCTTCAGGACCGGCGTCCTTTCAAGAAGTGGGCAGGTGGCCCGGGTTCAAAAAGATAGGTCGTGCCCTTGGTTTAAATCCCCCTTTTACAACAAAGCCCAGATGCACTCCCCAGCATCACGAACTAGATCACATGGTTTGGCATGAGCCCCAAGTGAGGCGAACGAGGTTAGGGCCGTAGGATCCAAATACTGCGTCAGGTCCAGGCCATACAATCGTTGCTCACATGTATCTGAGACCTGTCTTCCAGCAGCATGGCTTGTCCCTTCCACCAAAGGTTGCCAGGCCTTCTTCATGCTGCTTTGCTGGCTCCCCTACAGGTGTCCCTGCATGCTATGCGATCATGGACAACCCAAATGCGCAGCTCCTCATAGTTGTTGGTTTTGTCGAGCCCTGAGAATTCCTGTTACTGCTTATATACTGACAATCACTAAATAGCAACAGTTTCAGCTCAAATCCTTTCCTGTGACATTGAGCGCACTACAGGAATTTCGTGTTGGTGTAATCTGGAAAGGGGGGGGGGGGGATGGAACTTTCAGGCAAACAGCGGTTTTGGGTTGTAGCAGTTGCCCCCGACAAGGAAAATGACGCTTGCAGAAGCCCGCAGCTGGTGGGTAGAAGGTAAGTATCTTCCATAGATTCATGCAAACTCTCCACAGTAAGTAAGCTACCCATCCGACTCTACATGTTGTAGGGTGAATGGCAGCATGGAAAGAGACCAACGACCTGAGCTTTTGCTTGTAGGAAAGGAGGAATGGGTTCTTACTTGGTCCATGCAACAATCACCTCGACACCCCATTCCTTCATTGCCTGCTGGCAAGACCGAACACAAAGCAGGAGTATCAGCTGGCTTCTGCTGCTATTGAGCTGGAGGAGAAAGTTGCGCAGGTCAATGAGGCTGCCCCTTGTCCTTGGAAGCATGTCGGAGGGGATCTCAAAATCCATGGACCTTTCGGTTCTTGCAGTCCCTAAGATGAGGATTTCAAAGGAACCTAGTCTTGAGACATGCACACTTGAGATCCCCTTGTTATTCCCATGGCAAGTAATCTTTGGAGAACCCCTGAGTTCATATTCCCTAGACTGCGTAGTGCTAGTCACTCTGGTTGTTTGGGTCCTGGACATCCAAATCATTGCTCGTGCCGGGGTCTGTAGTCGAAGCATTTGTAGCTGCACAAGCACTACAAAGCCCTGCACCCCAAAGAGTCCTAAAAGCTGCAACCATTCTAGACCCGCTACGATACAAATGCATAGCCTGGACCCTCTGAGATTACCCACGAAGCCAGAAACCCACCGAAACTCTAAGCCTGAAAATGCCCTACACCCAACTCAACCCAACAGTCCTTCTCACAGCCATATATGTAGACAAATTGTTCCTTTTTCAGGTGGGTTGCATATGACAGTGCCAGAAGTTCCGGGCAGTTGGTATTCATGCAACTTTGCAGGTTCCGTGTGGGTCTCCAGAAGAGTCTTTCTCTTTATAGATATATACATATATATGTATGTATATGCCTTCGCGTATCTTTGCTGACCTCACAGAACCCTTGCAAGATCCTACTTGCATCTTGTCTTCCGCCTTTGATCCAAATTAGAGTTGATGCGCTCAGGAGCGGACTGGTGGGGCCGCCCAGCGATTGCTGAGCGTCACCTGCGATGCCTTCGTGAGGCTTTGCCCCCTCACCACCAGAAGGATGATGACACTAGTGTTACTACAAACAATGACCTACAGAAATCGTGTAGCACTTTGCTGAGAAGTCGCGCAGCTCCAATGTAGCTGCCCTGGCAATACTCCGCCCATCTCCTCCAACTCATCTCTCGTCTCTCACAGAGGTGCACATACCGACTGCTTGGGAAAATTCAAGGGCCTAACGTTGTGTAGCCAAGCTACTACCCAATAACCTTAAGCTTCACTTCTGCCCTCCGTCACGCAGGGCAACTGGCAATCCAACTTCTGTGTAAGAATATGTAGGTGCTGCAGCAAGTCGAAGAAAGATATCTTGACACAACAGCGACCCCATGGGCAACCTGCGCTTGACGAAGCGTCAAAGAGCGCGCATGCATAAATAGGACTGGGTTCATGCGCCCCATGCCCTATACGAACATTCAAAAAGTGCGGGCTCTTGACTCAATCTTTGGTAGTCTCTCTTTCCCTTCCTGTCAGGCTAACAGCGGACCTCAAGATCTTTCAGCCATCTCGCTGCCTGTTGGACCTTCTGATGTGTGGCCTAACTGCATACTCAATACTCCGCTTTAGGTACACACATCTTTGTGCCCTGGGACCCTCTCAGTGGCCGGGGAGAGAGACAGAGACAAACCATGCGCAGCCATACTCTGTTTTCCCCTACTACTGGACCTTCATGAAGTATTGTTGTTCTCCTTATTGTTATACCCATTCTTATTATTATTGCAATTATCACAATGGAACAAACGCCAGCAAGTATCACGCTTCACGACCCACTACGGGCGTGGCACTTGCCGCATGGACGGTCGCGCTATTGGGCAGCCCCTCTGCGCTGTGAATGGTTGGAGCCTGTAGGAGAGCACGATGATCGACATTTCGGGTGCGGCTGGCAGTGGTAATATTGAGAGTAAGGGCCTCCCTCTGTTGTGGTCCCCACAAGCCTCTGTTGCAGAGAAATGCTAAGGCAGCATGCAGAGACCACGGTCATTAAGGATTCTTGATGACTTCGCAAGAGAAAACAGGGCAAATCAAATAACTACTTAAATCCCAAGCTCTAAATCACCAACCCTAAATCCTAAGCATCCAAAGCCCTAAATCCAAATCCTTGGCGTTTCCAAGGTGGGTTCGGGTCAAGCCTAGCTTCGACACTTGGCAAGTTTGGCTGGAGATAGGAGGGCTCGCTTCCGGGTGCCTACCCAAAAGGATATGATTACTGGGGGGTGAGTACGTAGGGACTAAGGGAATATTTTACATAAGGATTCTGTTCTCTCATTCGCGAACCGCCCCAAGAAAGTATTAGGGAATCCTCCGCCCAAACAAGCCATTGTTAGGGAATCCATCCTTGGTTTGGACAAGCTACCATCTGATGGCAGCATGGGGTTCAAACCGAGCCGACCTTGCTGCCTTCGCATGTGATTTCCCCCTGCAGATTCTCCACAGCAAGCAGCTTATGTTTCTCGCCTGCGTCCATGTTGCAGGAAAACGCTGGACGGTGTTCCCATGATTCGGTACATCAATCCTGCGGACAGTTGGGCGGGGGCAGCAGGGGTTCTCAAAATAGGGCTGCTCAAAGAGGACAGCCCATATATGAGCTCATAAATCTGGTTTTCATCTTGTCTGTGACTGTGGGTGGCCTGCCATCCAAGATAGGGGCATTTCCTGCAATTACCTGGAGTGCCAAGTGTCAAGTAGTGGACCAATCCATTACACCTTGTGGTGCCAAGAGAAGACATGCCCCACCGTGTCTCTGTCCCGGGAAATCCTAGTAAGGGAACTGCTTTAGGGTCGGACCAGGTTTTCGGAAGGCACAAGACGAAGACCCCCAAAGAGGAGCCCAATCAAACTGCCCCTGACACAAGAGATCCTTCTGAGCCCAATGATGGTCCTTGATTTGAGTGGCTGGTCTTTTGCGAGGGGTCCGACATTCTCACTGGTGTTAGCTTCGGACTGACTATCATATGGCTAAAGAATAGCTTCTACTTGAAGGCCGTTGCATGATGTTTCTTGTTCGAAAAATGCCCCTGCCTCAGCTTCAATTTCACACGTTCCACCAGATGGGAGTTTTCAGACTGATGAGTTTAAAACCCTTCATGGGGACTCCTTTC